TCAGGTGTGGGTGGAACCCTTGGGTAATGGAGGGACAAGAATGAGTGCAGTTACCTACCTGGGCTGGCCCCTGTGCAGCTCACTGGGCATGGGTGAAAGGCACAGAGGGTAGAATTGTAATGAAGGAGGAAGTATGGTTTTCAAAAGTGATTTAATGTGTCAGGAATACCGTGTTCCAGAATTGCCTGTGGGGTGATGGACAAGACAATGTTGTGATGGGGATTTGGAGATGTGGGGGCAGTCTGAGAGCATGGAGCTGTGCAGAAAATAGCTGGAGGGTGGGACTCTGAAGAGTTCCCAGGGAAAGTACTAGAATGGTGAGGGGTCAGGGGTTAGCACCTTTCTGCTGGTCTGCCAGAGTGTTGTTGGTGTCCAGTTTTAACATTCATGCTTTTAAAATAATGGAGAAAACCTAAATGTCAGAAGAGTAATGGAAAATGACTAAGCACGGAGGTAAGAAGCGTCTTTAAGAAAATCTGAAAGGAAGTGAGTCTGTTCATAACCACCCAGGACTTAGCTCTTTGACCACAGGATCCCACCTAGATGTAAACTACAGGATTTAAGTTAACCATAATCATTTAAGTTACTGGAAAGACAAGGTAAGCCCAGAAAAGGGGTTTCCGAGGGCCCCCCCACCATCAGAGAAGAAGCAGTGAGTGACTAATACAGATCACCTGAACTCCCTGCATAGTCCAAGAACTTCGATTCTCCTGAAGCTTAACTATTAACTGCTCACCACTGGCTGATTGCATATGCATTAGATGTTGTATTCTTCCAAAAACAAAGCTAGAGAAAGGACTCCAAATAAAGACAAGAGGAAGAAAAAATACACATAGAGCCCTGCTCCATCTTTACCCATAGGTAGATAAGTTTATGTGAGTTTATGCTCTAAGTTTCCACTGGAAATTTGTGACATGAAACTATGCCTGCACCAACATTGATGCAAAGCCACACTAATACCAGATACCAAAAAATGAAAAGATACTGTGAAAAAGAAATTTTTTTGCTTTGAAAATAAAGAAATAGCAATATGATTACAAGTATTTGTATGTATATGTGTGTGTGTGTGTGTGACAGTATCACTATCATCCTGTTGTTTATCAATTCACTTGAGCGGGCGCCAGTAATGTCTCCTTTCGTCCTAGCCCTGAGATTTTAGTAACCTCTCTTTACTCGTCCTTCCCAATAGTGTCACATTGGAGGTTCTTTCAGGGTCAGGGGAATGAGACCCATTATTGTCACTGTTTTTGGCATATCAAATATGCAGCAAGGAGCTTGCCAGGCCTGCCATGTGGGCAGGCTACTCTCAGTAGCTTGCTGGGTTCTCCGAGAGGGTTCTCTGAGACTATATGAGGTCACATGGCTGTGAATATATATATATATATATATATATATATATATACTGAATATATATTATAGAGCAATAGCACAGTGTTAGGGCATTTGCCTTGCACACAGCCAGCCCGGCCGAGCGGGGTTCTATTCCTCCGCCCCTCTCGGAAAGCCCGGAAAGCTACCAAGTGTATCTCACCTGCACGGCAAAGCCTGGCAAGCTACCTGTGACATATTCAATATGCCAAACACAATAACAACAAGTTTCACAATGGAGACGTTAAACTGGGCCCGCACGAGCAAATCTATGAACAACAGGAAGACAGTGACAGTGATATATTATAGATTTATTCATTGAGAAATGAGGAGATTTTATGGATCTACACAGTTCAGCCCTGTGAATGTGCCAGGGTCAGCTTGAATAATACTTGTCATTTGTATCCAGCTCGGTCATTTACAAAGCATCTCCACACTTGATGGGGAAGGGAGGGACATTTGTGCTTGGGGAAACCCCATAAATTAGAAGGAAAACTTTCATCTCCCTGTCAAAAAGGAAAGATTAAGAAGGAAACTCAGATCTGAAGGCCCAGAGACTTGCCATGAGTGAATGGGGGTGCCAGGATTTGCACCTCACTCTACAGGATCCTGCCCTCTTTCCCAACCAACTAAAATGGCTTTTGTTTAACATCGAGAGCAGAGGGACCTTACAAGTCCAAGTACGGAGGTTATGAAACCCAATTACATGGTACTTTCAGGAATCAGAAGGCATGGAAGAATGAGGATTTCAGGCTCCGCAGGCAGCCAGCTTTTAATGTCGCAGAACCCAAACCTTCTAGTACATCTGCCCAAGACAGATCATGGAACTCTTCAATGGAAGCAACTGGGCGGGGGGTGGGGGGGTTGTGAATTAAGTTTAGATAATAAAATGCCTGGACTGAGCCAGCTAAGTGCCTAGGCCAATTATGCAAGCCAGAACCCATGCCAACGTGGTGAGGTGCTTTGTTTTTCCACTTTGATCATGACGGCCCCTTCCCTATATTTTTCTGCTACATATTTCCCTCCAGGCCTAGGTTTTGAAATATTTTTGCCTCCTAAACAAACAGTGTTTATTAAGTAATAAGTTTTCTATGTTTAATATGGGACATAGATCACCGGGCATGCAGGTTAATATTGAGCAGCCGCAATCCAATTTCCATTTGGCTTCTGAAAATATTGAAGCGTGTGGTCCTCCTTAGGACTTGTAAATTCCTAGAAAACCCAGTACTTAGGGAGGGGACCCAGAATTTATTTGCCTACATGACTGGCATGCCTACTTACCAGGTGGAGGAGAGAAATAAAATTGGCAAGAGAAGCAGACGTTCCTGCCCAAGTGTAGAGTTACTGAGAACAACTTGTATGAGATTGATCATCAGGGGCCGGAGAGATAGCACAGAGAGTAGGGTGCTTGCCTTACTCATAGCTAACCCACGATTGATCCCCGGCACACCATCTGGTCCCCTGTGCCAACCAGTAGTGATCTCTGAGCACAGAGCCAGGAGTAATCACTGAGCACCTCCAGGTGTGTCCCGAGTACAAAACAAAACAAAACAAAAGACTGAGCATTGAGGCTAATGACAAAAGCAAGAAGACTCTAGAAGGCAGAGCTGAGAGCTGGCTGGTTAGGAAAGAAAAGAGAAGGCCCGGGAGGTGGGACGATAGCTCAAGTGATAGAGAACATGCTTAGCCTGTGTGAGGCCCTGAGTTTGATCCCCAGCACCACCTGCTCCCCCAACACTGTCAGCAATGGCCCTGGTGCCCCCTCTCTCAGCACCCCACTCCCCCAACCCCCATTGACTGAGCCTGTGCACCAAACCATCATTATCAGATTAACTATCACCAGGAGTGGCCTCTGTGGGAATGAAGGAAACTAAAATCCTAGTGTGCACAAAAGACAACTGAGAAAGTGGAGGAGGCGCCAAGGTCAAAGGTAAAATGGTACAATTGGGAGTAGGAGTCTCTCTGGCATCTCAGAAGCTGTGGAGGCACAGAACTGGCCTTGTGAAACCTCACAATACTTGAAAACCGAGGAAAAACAAATGTATACAGGGAGCAAGAGAAATAAGGTTGCAAGAGATACGGTGGTTTTGGAATTCAGGATTCATTCCATAATATGGGTTTGAGACTAATTAAGTGAACTGTGCAGAAGTAAAGGGTAGTTCCCATCAAAATAGTCCTGCTGCTGTGGAGATGGAGAGCCCAGGACAGACACAGGACAGCCTGACAGACAGCCTCTGGGCTGACTCCTGAAGCCCAGATCTGTTTGCATCTGTGCCTGGACCAACAGCTCAGGGTCTGCCATCTACCATGGAGAATGAAAAGGAATCGCCCCGTCTAACTTCCGTAGCTCATGCTGAAAGAGTCAAGCCTGGTCCTCTATTGAGAGGGGTTTTTTTCTCTTTTCCCCTAAGTTTCCCAACTGGAGAAGGATTTTGGGGAAAAGAACACACACACCTTTTTGTAAAGATGAAACCAGTCCCTGGGAGGAGAACAGATTCCACTGCTCTGGCAGATCCTAGTAGGAACCAGCCGCCTAAGTCCCAGGCTGGCAGGGGGAAGGGCACTTTCTTGGAGAACAAAAGCTTCAAGAGATCTTAGGGCTTGTAGGGGAAGTGGGCGCCTTGGGGCTAAACAGAAATGCCACATGGAACTCTTTAACAAGTGGCTGGTGAAAGCTAATAAAACGTTTGGGGGTGGTGAAGAGGAAACCCCTTGTTATGAAGAGGGACTGGGTCAGGGGAGAAATAATACCAGCTGCTCTTTGAAAGCACTAGTGAGAAGGATTTTAGAGCCTGTGGGGCAATTTTATGGGAGGCTGGGGCGAGTGACAGCTGCAAGGCAGGTGGTATTAGGTGCAGAGAAAAGCAAGGCTCTGGCACTTGGGTTCAGCACTCTTGGGAACAGCAAACTCCCCCTACGAATAGGAGCAGGAGTAGGAAAAAAGAAGAATCCTTTTATGGCAAAAACAGAACAAGAACCAACTGAGAAGGAATAAACATTCACGTTTTTACCGGTGGTTCAGAACCCCTTGTGGGGTCCTGAGAGATATCACAGCAGGTACAGGAAAGGCGCTTGCCTTGGATGCAATGGACCCAGATTCAATCCCTGGCATCGCATAGAGTCCCCTGAGCCTGCCAGAAGTGATACCTGTGTACAGAGTCAGGAGTAAGCCCTGAGCACTGCTAATAGTTCCCTGAGCCTGCCAGGAGTGATACCTGAGTACAGAGCCAGGACTAAGCCCTGAGCACTGCCAGATATAGTACAAAAGACACACATACCCCCAGCCCCTCAAAAGAAAATTCAGTGTGGGATGTGTTGGCTGGCAGAGAGATATGGGATTCTGAGTGGTGGAGCCTCTGAAATGTCGGCTGTACACAGAGTCTCTATTTTAAGCATTTCACCTGAACACTTAATCTGAACTCTCTGAGTCTCTTCCTAGAAACTTCTAAGGAAATAACAATGCCAAAGTTTGCTCCAGCCTTCTGCTCCATTCCCCTCCTCCCCCGGGTCGAGTCCCTTTCCATGCAGACATCGCAGGTGCCTGCACCTTTTCAGCCGATGCAGGTGGAAGACATTTCCCTCTCTCGTGCTTGGCAGAACTTGACCACTCTCTCCCCTGTCTCTCCGCTCAGCTCACCAGAGTCCCCGTGGAGTCGTGTGGGCAGTATCGGAGCTGCAGCGAGTGCCTGGGCTCGGGAGATCCCCACTGCGGCTGGTGTGTGCTGCATAACACGTGAGTACCTCCATGGTCTTCCCTGGGCTCGCTCTGCTTCTCCCCTCCTTGCCTTGCTTTTTCTACTGCTCCACCCTCTCTCCATCCCTCTCCTGGTCTTTCTCACTCCTGTACCGTTGGCAAGTTTATCTTTCCTCCTTGTTCTGACTTCATTTTAATTATCACATTCCCAGGAGAACGTCCATGGAAATGGCAGCGTAGGGGGAAGGATAGTGGAGGGCTGGAGGGCTTGGGGGGACGGTGGGAATAGATGTTTCTCAGTAACACTGTTACCCCGAAACCGGTTGAGTTCCTGGGAGGATCCATCAATTTTGTATGTAAAATGAGCCAACGAAACCCCAGGCATTGAAGTGATAGTTATTTATGGAACAGCTCGCTGGAGAGGGTAGTTTGGGATTCCTCCAGGCTCTGTGTATAGGTCTTTTACCTGGTTCTTCACTGCCTCCTCACTGCTGCCTGTGTGCAGAGTTATTGGTTCATGCTGATGTCTCATTGGTTCTGTTTCTTTTTTTTTTTTTCTTTTTGGGTCACATCCAGCGATGCTCATGGGTTCCTCCTGGCTTTGCACTCAGGAATTACTCCTGGCAGTGCTCGAGGTACCATATGGGATGCTGGGAATTTAACCCGGTCGGCCGCATGCAAGGCAAATGCCCTACCTGCTGTACTATCACTCCAGCCCCCGGTTCTGTTTCTTGAAGTCCACCACTGTCCTTTCCATCTGCCATCTGTTGCTGGCGCTGTGCGGCTGACCTCCCTTGGCCCAGAGCCCTGTGGCTCTTAGCTTGGCTTTCTTGAGTTTTCAAGCCGTGTTGGATAGAAAACTTGCTGCTCCTCTTTGGGGTACAGGTGAAGGGTCAGAGGTGCTGCCCCTGGGGCACCAACATTGGATTAGGGAGAGAGAAGTTGCCTGTCCTGTGGGGTTTTATTTGTTTTGTTTTATTTTTTTAGTACTACTACTCTGGCCCCTTGACCATTTCCATTCTCTGTCTGACTGGCTACACCTCATGTAGATGAGATTTCAAATGACTAGAGACAGTATAGAGGGTAGGGCTGTTGCCTTGCACTTGGCTGACCCAGGTTCCATCTCCGGCTCCCCATAGGGTCCCCAGAGTCCCACCAGGAGTGATCCCTGAGGACAGAACCAGGAGTAAACCCTGAGAACTGCCGAATGTGCCTCCCAAGCCAGAAATAAATCAATAAAATAACCAATTATTTTTAGTAGATTGTCTGGCGCCTCTTCCTCCATGCTCCACCTCCACCAAGGCAGTCACCACCTGAGACCCAGAGAAGCACAGTGGGATAAGACATTGGGGTTTTGTTTTTTCACAGGGGTCGCCCCCAGTGGTACTGTACGTGTCCAGATCTCTCCTGAAAATGCCTGGTGATGCTCAGGGGCCACCACACCTGTACCTGGTGGTGCTTGGTAGGACAGGGTAGAGAGCATCTGATTCCAGGGATCAATTGGGGACCTCAAACATGGGGACATACACTCTCCCGCTTAAGGCTGCCATATCCCACTAACCCATCTGTACAATTCAAAGCATCCACATCTTTCATATGCTCCTTAATCTTCCCTCAGAATCTTCCGGTGTTTGGGGTACACAGGTCAAGGGTGTCACTGCTGAGAACTACCTCTTTCTGTTATAACATGAATCAGTCTGAGGACTGTGGCTCTGGACTCCCTGCGTACCGGGTCCTAAACCCAGGTGCCTGTGACATACTGCTTCCTCTCAGTTCCCTGGAGGCAGAAAGAGGCGCAGGGGCACCAGTGCAGGCAATGCTGGCCTTGGGAGGATGTGAGATACTGGGGTACAGACAGGCAGCCCAGATGTAGGGAGATGTGAAGACCCTTATTAGGGCATCCAAGGACATCAGCATTGTTGATTGGAGAAGCCCAGAGCAGTTGGCCCCCAAATCTAGTGGAATTTAATCTTGTTCTACCCACTGCTACTGGAAGCTGGAACCTCAGCACTTGATACTGAGCACTGGGTTGGATGAGCATTAAGCACTAGAGAGAAAGATTTCAGTCTTCCTCATCCTTAGGTTCTTCCTAATAAGAGCCTGAGCTGTAAGTGGCCAATGATATCTCCTAGCCATTTCCATCTGAAAGAAGATGGGAATAAGACCCTGCCCCACTTGGAGTACCTCTGAACATGAAGAATGTCCCCATTAAATTATAATCCTTTCCAAAGGCACAGCTGCCTCTCCGTGTCTGGGTGACAGTCTTAAACATAATGAATCTTGAGACTTTCAGAGGAACTCTGGAAATCCTCAGCTACATTCTCAAGTGGATATCTTGAGAACTGTTGTCCTCCACAGAAGTCCAATATCCTCAGAGGGGACCAGAGACCAGGGGCAGGATGTTCCTAAAGTGGTCCCTCATCCAAGAGCAGTGAGCCAGGGAGAAACTGGTAGAGAAATGGCCTCGATTCAATTTAGAGCCATGTGGATCCTTCCAGAAGAGGGGCAGGATGACACTTGGCTGAGCTGAGGGTACGTGATTACCCTTGTCCTGTGGTCAGACATCACAGGAAGGAACTGGTCTTCAGATTCCTTGTTTCCATGGGGACAGTGATGCCCTACCTCACTTGGCTGAGGCTTTCTAGGCTGATGTGGGCTCACACACCTGGCTCTTTCTAGGGCAATCAGGAAGGGCCTTCAAGGGCCTTCATTCAAGGGCAAGCTGTTCTCTGCCCGACACACTGTGCCAGTGGCACCCAGAGATAGGGCACTGGCAGCATGGATCCTGACCAGCCCAAGATAGCATGAGTCTTAAAGGCAGGAGGCCCCAATAAGCAGGAGGAGGTGGGACTGCCAGTAACCATCTCTCCATTCCTTCCAGTCAAGGCAGGAGAGACCAGAAAGTACTTCCTTCATGACCTTCGTTTTCCCTTCAGTAGTTAATAATTGCTTCCTGTTGAGTGGGTGGACTAAGACCAAGGTGACCTTGGGACAGGCATGAAGGAGGCTACCAACTTATCCACGAAAGTCACAGCTCTACCCTCTGCATGGTCTGAAGGAGTCAACCCAGACAGAAACTTGGTGTGGCTGCCATCAGGTCCAGATTTCTGGTCTCCTGGCTCTGTAGAAACCCAGATCCTTCTCTGTGAAGTAGGGATGGTGATGCTGCCTCATATAACTAGCTGGTCCCTGGGGAATCAGGTGAGATCATGTGGATCTCATGTACTATGAACTCTGGAATATAGAAAATGGGGCAGGGAGACGGGAATCCTGGCACATCCAGGAAGGGCTTAAGACTCCCAGTCTCCTCCACTCATGGCTGAGGTTAAGCTCCATCTATGTTCCAGATGTAGAAACACCTGAATTGTGTCTTCCCTCCCCTTGAGAGTCCCAGCCTCTGAGTGCCCCTCCCCCACGAGAGTCACAGCTCTGAGCCTGATGTCTGGTCTGATGATGGGCTTAAACACAGTCCAGGTCAGGACAGCCCTTAGTGGCCACTCCTGAGGACCAGGATTGGCCCATTTTCTCTTTCTTGTGCAGGGTTGGTGACTTCTGGTAGCCTCTCCTTCTCACCCAAAATATCACTATGGGGAGCAGACTGGGAAAACCACAGGGGCTTTGGAAAGGTAGTTGGAATGGAAATCAACAGAGGCTGTGTTCTCGCTTTTTGCAAACTCTACTAAGTCTGGACAAGAATATTTAAGTCATATTATCCATGATGGATATGCTTTATAAAGCCACCATGAACCCCAAATCAACAAAAAGACAGAGAACCCCACTTCTTTGAAGGATCATAGTATCTCTAGCTCCCAGATATCTCTGTACCATTTGTCTATTTTCTCTCTATGCTTGGAATTGGAGCTGGAACGATAGCACAGTGGGTAGGGACTTTGCCTTTGACACAGCTGACCTGGGTTCGATTCCTCCATCCATCTCGGAGAGCCTGGCAAGTTACTGAGAGTATCCTGCCCACATGGCAGAGCCTGGCAAGCTTCCCATGGAGTATTCAATATGCCAAAAACAGTAATAACAGGTCTAACAATGGAGACGTTACTGGTGCCTGCTCAAGCAAATCGATGAACAACGGGAGAACAGTGCTACAGGACAGCGCTACAATGCTTTGCTTGAAACTGTTCCCAGCTGTCTCTGTGCCCAGAACTGTTCCCTGCTCTCTCTCGGTGCCCAACTTAGGGTACACAAACCCCTTTATGAGACACCCCTAGTTAGACAGTCTCTGTCACCTCGCTTGTTGGAAACCAGGCCTCTGCCTTATGGCCAACCTGGAACATTTCAGTTTGTAACATAGACAGAGCATGAGTTAGACCCACACCCAGGTGGAACTCCAGCTAAGTAGCACAGTGAACTAGACCCAGGGAAAGCCGGGCCGGAGGAGCTCTTGGGAGAGTGGTCTCTTACGTATCAACTTGCCTTTTCCTCTTTTGCTTCTGCTAACTGCTCCCTTGGTTGTCAGAGTGAGACTCTGTGAGCCTGGAAGACAGGCAGAGCTGTATGTGTGTGTGTGTATAGGGAAGCGAAACAGAAGACATGGGGAACCCGGGCCGAGGGGCTGAGAAAGAGGGTGTAGTTCAAGGGCCCATGAACAGGTGGCTCCGGGAGCTGAAAGGCCTGTTTGTTGCATGAAAGGCCCAGGTGGTTGGCTAACGGGACAGGCTAAAGAAAGGCCTCCTGTCCTTGAAGGCTTCCCTCCTGTCACTTACTCTCTGACAGCTGGGAGGCATTGCCCCAGCAACCCAGGAGCACCGAGAATCACCTTGCTGACACCCCCGGCGCCCAGTCCCAAGCCTGGCTATTTTCTGATGGCCACAACCACATCCACGGCCAGGAATTTATTTTTCCGTGACTTTGAGCCTTTGTTCCCCAGACCTTTACCTTGGACCTGAGCCAGAACTTGCCTACGCTGACTTAAGCTATGGTCAGGGAAAGCCCACAGCAGCACAGTTTGTCTCAGGCCTCCCGCTTCTGAGGATACCAGGACCTATAGCTCCCTGCCCACCCCACCCCCCAATCCTCCCTCTCAA